CCACCACCACCACGACGACAACAGCTACACATGGCAATTAACACCACTACCACTACGACTACGATTACGACTGCAGCCGCCGCTGCACTGCTACCTCGACGACAACGACGATGTTGATGACGACTAGCACTTCGTTTGGCACAGCATAATGCACCCTCGACTGAAACGATATGATCGTTTAGACCCGGTAGGAGGTTCCATACCCCTCCCGCAAACCCCTGAACCCTGAACCCGAAGCTCTGAACCCTAAACCCCAAACCCCAAAACCCTAAAACCCTAAACCCTAAACTCTAAACCCACATACTCCAAGCCTCAGCATCTGCTTCAAGGAGGGTTCGGCGAAATTCTGTAAGCTTGCCAGCCACTTCCTTCAAACGACATGAAGCTCTGTTCCAAACTAAGGGTTTTAGGTTTAAGGTTTAGGGTTTTTGGTTTAGGGTTTAGGGTTTAGGGTTTAGGGTAGCTCTGTTCCAAACTAAAGCTCCTACATTTAGGGGCCTTAGAACTTACCTATAATATATTTTGGGGGGCTCCTTATCTATTATAACTATAGTATAATGGGAACCAAAACCCTGTTCTAATCATTAAGGCATCTATATGTTACACATATATATAGAGAGATAGACAAACACCGCCAAGCACTTCGAGGTCGTTCTCGAATGCAGTATAAGCTTACCAGAACAACGAAACTCCTCTAATGAAGAGCCCAGAGGGTCTAAGTACTAATATAGTAGATACTTTGGGGCCCATAATATCTACTGTATGTGTACTTAGACCCGATGGGGCGCTGGAGCACGCAGCCCAGCAAGACTTATCGACTTCTAGACTGAAGCGACTGGGGTTGACAGTAGCAACTGAGATGAAACCTGGCTTAGGGTTTAGGGTTTAGGGTTTAGGGTTTAGGGTTTAGGGTTTAGGGTTTAGGGTATGGTTACAGGATTCAGGGTTTAGAGTCGATGATGATATCGTTTTGTGGTGGGGACGGTTCCTACTTCCAACCCCTAAATCCAACTCCTCCCTTCCAATGTTGTAACGACCCCGCAACCCTACGATGGGCCGGGTTTAGGGTTTAGGGTTTAGGGTTCATTGGGAGAGTTGAACCCCGAGTTCCCCATCCCCTCCTCTGGCTTGGGCGCAACATCTGTCAACGCAGCAGCACGCAGGATCTGCACTGGGGGCGGTCGCCTCGGGCTTGGGGATCTTCAAGCAGCAGCATATCAATGGTCATACGGGTGGAGTTAAAAGCAGGAATAGTCAAAGCAACAACACTGAATATCTACTAACCCAGTAGCGACAACTTGCAACCGGAGGCTTTTGGAATAGACAGTTTTGATGCAGCATAGCCTCGTGGTTGGGATGCAGGTTTCATGGGGATGTTGTGGCCATAGAACTAAAGCACTAACTCCCGCTCTGTCTGGCATTCCACCCCATGCCCCAAACCCTAAACCCTAAGCTCAAAAACCCCTAAACCCCAAACCCTAAACCCTAAACCTTAACCCTAAACCCCAAACCCTAAACCCTAAATCCCTCTGCCCTGGGCCTGCCTGGTAAGTTGGCGAGTCGGCAAAGAACCCAGGGGAGGGGATTTTGAGGTCTTCCAGCGAAGGGTCCAAGACTTACTGTTGATTTAGGGTTTAAGGGTTTAGGGTTTAGGGCTTTAGGGCTTTAGGGTTTAAGGGTTTAGGGTTTAGGGTTTAGGGTTTGTAGGTACTACTGTTGATGGCATAAATCCTGCACTACTTTACGGACCCTAAACTATGGAATTAGGGGTATGGGTAATGCAGGATTTATATCATCGGCCGTATGAGTGTCTAAGGATCTTGGGGAAGATCAGGGTTCAGGGATTTGGTTGTTTTTGGGTTGTCGGCTTTAGTTTTCTACGATTTATGAGACTTGAAGTGAAAGGCTCAAGACGATTGGTCTGAAGGCATGGAAGAAACTCTCGGCAAAGGCCGGAGATGTATGGAGCTGAATGCAGGACGGCCAGGAAGATCACTACTCATCGTGATTGCGGCTGGCCTAGGGCTTGAGGTTTTTGAAGAACCGACAGCGTACGTCCTAATCATCTCTAAGGCCCAAGGCTTGGGGGGGATTAAACCCACTCTTTCCAAGCTCCCCTACCCGCCTCGCCGCACACGACTCCAAGTGTTCGGTGCGGCTCTTCAGCCTCAGTGATTGCAGACTTTAGCTTCGGGCTTGTAGGTTTTGGGGGTCTGCAGGTTTTGGGCGGGTTTGAGGGCATTTTCAAACCCTAAACCCTAAACCCTAAACCCTAAACCCTCGGATAGTTTTGGCCTTTGTCTGTTGGGACTCTTCGGGCTTGAGGTGGAAGCCAGTATGTGTTCGACTTGGAGGTGGGGGTTATCTTGATATCTTGTCATTGCTATTATGGGCGGGGGGGGGGGTTCGGAAAATAGGGGGCCCTAATGTCGCATCCTGAATAGTAGGATCCTTGTTATACGGACTCCAAGATAAGGAACCCTAAACCCCTTATTCTCGGAAACGGCGATCAGGAGATACTACCCTAAACCCTAAACCCTAAACCCCAAAATGTACTGTCAGTAATTCCTGAGATCCCCGATCTTCGGAGACTTGCCGCGAAGATGATCATGATCCCTCCCGGGTTGCGTCACATTCCGGCTTAGGGTTTAGGGTTTTCGGGTTTTGGGAGTTTGGGTTTAGGGGTTTAGGGGTTTAGGGTTTTAGGGTTTTCGGGGTTTGGGTTTAGGGTTTAGACCTAAACCCTGAACCAGTTTAGGGTTTAGGGGGAACGTGGCATCTTCCGGTAGCAGCTTCCGATCTAGACGGGCTGAGTGTAATGTTGTGCCCTCGCGGGGTCGTCTTATGGAAAGGGTTTAGGGTTTAGGGCCAGTTTTGGGTTTAGTTAACGGGTTGACGCACTCTCGAAACCCAAGGAACTGTATACTAAACCTGCAATGAACAAAATGAGACAACACCCTGCATGACTGGAAAGTGAAAACCAAATGAAGGCTTCTGAAAATCAACGGTCCCGTTTCTGGACGTATCCGTTCTGGCTTGATACTAGTCGTCCTCCCAAAACCCCAAATCCCTACATCCCAAAACCCGAAACAACAAGCCCTAACCCCTTAACACAAAAGCTCTCAAATGGGTAGTTGTCAAAATTATGGTCCCTTTTGGGGTACCCTATATAATAGGTGCCGTATTATAATAAGGACCAAAAAAGGGACCATAATTTTGACAACCACCCAAATCGGTGTCCAGGGAACTGAACCAACTCTTCCTCGACAGCTCGCAGGTGAGAGCGGATCTGCTCTACAGGCTGGCTCGTGGCGACGTGGCAAGCCTCATGGTATCGAATTAGGGTAAACCCTAAACCCTAAACCCTAAACCGAGAGATATGCATGAATAGGGATCCTTTAATGGGTACCCTAAACCCCTGAACCCTAAACCCTAAACCCGAAGAGGGGTACTTTAGGGTATGGGTAGATCGAAGCTCAGGGGCCTTAATTGTTGGAACAGGACATTGGGGCTTATTATAGGGTTTAGGGTTTAGGGTTTAGGGTTTAGGGTTTGAGGGCTATAGGGTTTAATACATATAGCTATATTCAGGAAGCCTAAGGCGTAATATTGGCAATTCTTTCGGCTTCTATAGTATCCACGGATGGGGGATCCTTTAGAGGGTAGAATAAGGTTTCCCCAGACACACAGGTACAGAAGATGCTCGTGGTCTTCGCAATAACTGAAACCGTAGCAGTGTTACAAGCCCAAAAACAATAATCCCGACTGACCTTGTCTCGCGGCTTACCCCGAAATCGAAACCCGGTCTCTGACGTCTCTACAAATTAGTATAATACTATAAGGATACTATGCAATCCTGAAGCATACTATTCCGACTGTTGAGACCCGGGAACAGGCACGACGGTGGTCTTCAGCTTCTCAATGGTCTGCCTCCGTCGCCACTGGACCGTTGGGAGTTTCCTAAAATTAGGGTACCTTATTTTGGGGGGGTCCCTTATAAGAAGGATCCTACTATTTAGGGTGCTATATTAGGGTCCCCTACTTTTGGAAACCCCCAGTTGGGCTAAAGATTAGCACTTCCAGTTCGGTAATCGTCGTAATGGCACCACTACTGCTACTGAAGCTGTTCGAAGAAAAACATAGAAACAAAATGCACAGGTTATGGTGATCCGAAGAAGTACTAGTTCCGTGACCCAGGCCATAGACTGTTTTCACAGGGCCAGGAGTGTATGTCATTACGTTGGCTGGGAGGTCTGATGGTTGTTCTTCCGACCGTGTTTGCTGCTGGTTTTGCGGCCGAACATTCTCAAACGCTGGATTTAGGGTTTGTGGTTTAGGGACACTTTGCAAGCAAATGCCAAGCAAGAGTAGGTTCGCTGAGCTGGACTTATCGTCGAAAGCGTAGATTCCAAGTACTTCCGAATCTCGATTCTTGGGCTTAGTGTCCGTCGCTTGGTGACCTTCAGCCACCAACGCTACACAAATCAGAGAGTGGTATATCTCAAGCCCGGAATATATCGGCAAACGAACCCTACCTAAACCCTAAACCCCGAACCCTGAACCGCAAACCCTAAATCCTGAACCTTAAACCCTAAAATGAACCTTAAATGCTGGACCCTGAGCCCCAAATCTGACACTAAACCCAAAACCCTCAGCCCATAACCCTAAACCTTAGATCCTAAACACCCTAAATGCTGAACCAAAGAAACGAAAACAAACCCACAAACCCTAAACCCCTCTCAAATAAAAGCTAACCCTAAAAGCGCCAAACCCCAAACTTTGGACCTTTAGACCCGTAGCCGTAGATCCTGAACCCGAGGGTTTAGGGTTTAGGGTTTAGGGTTTAGGGTTTAGGGTTTAGAACCCGAAACCGGAAAGCGCAAATCACATCACGGCCTCACCATTTCCAGGCCCGACTTGAAGTTACCAGCGGCAAGCGCCTACAGGAGGAAGCACCCTACAAGGGTTCCTGCAAGGGTACTATCATAGGGTTGCGTTTAAGGGAACTATAAGGTTCTATAACTGGGTTCCCTATGAGGCTACTGTATGGCTTACAATGAGGGTTGAAGGTACCGCGAAGGATTCCGAATATGCGTCTCTGAAAAGGGCTCGGGGATGTAGACCCAAAAATCCGAAACCCTAAAACCCTAAGCCTTAAACCCTAAACCCAAAGCCCTAAACCCCTAAACCCGAAAGAAAGGGTCCTAGGTGCTGTTATGGGGGGATACTTTCCCAAAGCATATAATCACACCTCCTACTATAAAAAAGCCCTACATTCTACTACGGCTGATGGACAAAATCCTGCATGACCTTATATACCTAAACTATGGGATTTATGGTACTATACTATATTTGGGTGATGCAGAATTTTGTCCATCAACAGCCCTAAACCCTAAACCCTAAACCCTAAACCCTAAACCCTAAACCCTAAACCCTAAACCCTAAACCCTAAACCCTAGTATGTAGGTGCTTTGGACCCTTCCGGACTGTCCGGGCCTCTACACTCTAAGGCTGTAAGGGTTCCTATATGGGATACTGGTTTAGGGTTTAGGGTCTAGGGGGGTAGGGGATAGGTCTAGGGTTTAGGGTTTAGGGTTTAGGGTCTAAGGGATTCAGGCTTAGGAGTTATGGGCTTACCCAGACCCTACAGTGTAGTACGGCTTATTGGGATAACCTGCTTTAGGGTTTGGATCAGATAAGAATAAACTGCTGTAGAAGCCAGAATTAAACATAAAGTTGGAACATGGGCTAAGGGCTTAGTTCGATTATCGGGACAGTGATGCTCCAATTTTCAAGCTCCTGGTTTAAGGTAGCCAAGGAAAAACTACACTTGGGGTCTACTTTGGCCGCGGAGCTAGTACCTTTCTGATTTCTGTTTGACTTAGTAGATACGGCTAGGTTCCTACGGTTAAGGGTTTGGGGCTTAAGCCCTAAACCCGGAAACCCTAGAGACTAATGAAAAAGTTACAAAGGGTTCTACAACTAAGGGTTTAGGGGGTTTGGGATCGGTGTAGTATCGAAGGTCGGGGTTTGCTGTGGTGATGTCTTTGGTTTATGAACCTAGCTTTTAGGGCCTCGGTTTCGGGTTCTCGGTTTAGGGGTTTCGGAAGGTTCTAGGCTTAGGCCTTTAGGGTCTTGGCGTTTGGGGTTTAGGGTTTCGGGTTTCGGGTCTTAGGGTTTGGGGTTGTAGGCGCCGGGTGTAGGGTTCGGGGCTGAATGCCCGGATTTGCTGTGTGGCGTGTGGGATTCAGGCGGGCAGAAATTCAGTGCTTCGGAGGCCAGGGGGCTTTGTTAGGCATTTTTTGGGGTTTAGGGTTTAGGGTTTAGAGAGCCACAAGGGTTGTTGTTAGGGGTTTCCTGAGCTGGTTAAATAATTAAGGCTTCAAATGGGGTTATAATAAGGCTACAGCTTGCTATTCCAACAAAAATGACTTCTGCACCTTCTGACCCCATACCTCGCTGCTCAATTGGTGAATGTTTTTGCCATGCGATAATATGCAATCAAGAACTTCGTCAAGGTGTTGAGCTGCTGTACCACAAAATATATGCAGCATCTACTATTGCATGGAAATTCTGCGAGTTCAGCGCAACTGTTCAACTGCCACAAGTACCTCACTATCAGCCATCCTGTTCTTGCACCATTGTGGAGACTGATTTGAGAACCGGCATTGAACCCACCATCATGCGCAAGCCGAGCCAGAGCTATGCCCCCGTGAAACAAGCACACACACACACAAACACACAATCACTGCCGCTCCAAGCCTAAACCAAAAATCCAATGTGCCTTCGGTCCCGATGAAGCTCCACAGAATACCGGAAACTAAGATCGATCCCGACCGACACGCCTCAATTCAAAAACACCCTGGCTGCAAACCCTAGCCAAGAATCTTAAAAGCCCTAAACCCCGAATGCGGCAACTGGCCAGATGCCTGGTCAGCCAGCCGGGTCTCAATTCGCTCAACCTGGTGGGGGAGCGATAGAACAAAGGCCCTGATACTTGTGCTAAGCTTTCTTATCTACTTGAGGCGAATCGGTGACCGGGAAGGAGTGGAAGGACCACCGGCAAACGTTCATCCCAGGTGCACGCTTCGCCAGCTGTGCCTTGTCATCTGCCTTGGCGCTTCTGTGCAGTCTTGCCCCTGTTTAGGTCTGTCGGGCTTGAAGCCAACGCTACCCTAAACCCTAAACCCTAAACCCTAAACCCTACACTAGAAGACCTGCGCAACAACGAATGAGATGATCGATGTCATGGTGAAATCTCTAAAACGCCCAAACCTTGAGGCCTATCAGAGCCTAAGCCCTACAATAAAAAGCTGCAAAGCTCATAGCAGACTCCCATGATCGCGATCTACATGGATGTCCCCTTTGCTACCAGGTGCTAAAAGTCTATGGTCAGCCACCCTGGAACCTTGAAATCTAAGTCCGAAGCCCCAACTCGCAACCCCTGCGCCAAAGCCCAAATCTCGAAATCTACAGCCTGAACCCTAAACCTTAAACTCAAAACTTCAGGCCCTAACCCTAAACTTTTAAACTGCAGGCCCTCAACCCTAAAACCCTAAACTCTAAACTTCAGGCCCTAAACCCGAAACCTCAAACTCTAAACTTCAGGCCCTATAGACCCTAACCCCACGCCTGAAGCTCTCAACCCCAAGGACTGGGCCCTGAACTCGCCACGTCTGGAGCCCAAGGTTCTCACCAGTGAACCCTAAACAGGGTTTAGGGTTTAGGGCTTAGGGTTTAGGGAAATTAAGCTCTAAACCCTAAACCCTAAACTCTAAACCCAAAGCTCTAAACCCTAAACCCTAAACTCTAAACCCACACCTAAACCCTAAACCCTAAACTCTAAACCCTAAGCTCTTAACCCTAAACCCTAAACTCTAAACCCTAAACGAAAAACTCTAAGCCCTAATCTGTAAACCCTAAGCCCTCAACCCTAAATTGCTAAACCCTAAGTTGAGGACTGCCTTAGGCTTGCAGTTGCTGGTGTATGTTGCTGCATCTCTCCGCCTGCCGAAGACATAAGAACATCAATATAAAGACCCGTATGAATATCCAATATCTATGTACATACACAAACGCATTCTTGCATCTGTGTACCTAAACCATAAACCTTAAACCCTAAACCCTAAAGCCCAAATCTGGTTTCCATGAGCACGAAGCGACTACGTGCCAAGTGTTACGAAGCATACGACTCCCCGATCTTGAGCCCACCCGAAGACTCTGGCCTTTGACAACCTTCCCTAAGCCTACAACCCTATAGGGTTTAGGGTGTGGGGTTTGGGGTTTAGGGTTTAGGGTTAGAGGCTCTTGCAGGCTGGATGCAAAAGGGTTTAGGGTTGTGACTTCCAATG